AGGGGGAGGCCCTCAATGAGTTGGACTAATATAGTGGCTGTAACAATGCCTCAAACCTGAAAACTGTGAGGTTGGTGCAGGACGTGGCAGTGTTTTGTTCCACCTTGACCTATTGGGTAGTCATGTGTCAGAATCAATGGCAGTGAGTTTGCTTTGTCTGCTTAACTTATCAGGATCCATTAGTTTAGTTTATTAGGATTCTTACCAGAAACTGGTAAGAAGGATGATGAGATAGTTTATTGTGCCAGCCTGGCCAGTAAACACAAGTGGGATTAACTGAAAGGCAGAGAGATAAATGGCTTGGTGAGTCTCGCCTTTCTTGTCTCTCGCTCTTTGATCATTGGACCAGTGTGTGGCTCCCTTGCTTGTTCTGTGCCTCAATTTAAAGGCTACACTACCTGTGGGACGCCTAGCCTGTGGACTGTGTCGCTGTAAGTTGAGGTCCCTTTAAGATATCTCTGGAGCTGGGGACTGGTGGTTGGTGACCTGGCTGACAGTTGGTGACCTGCCTTGTGATTGGCTGCTGTGCTGACATAGCCTAGCTCTCTCTATAAATAGAGGAAGATCTGGCAGCAGACTAGACTTGAAGGACTGCTAGTCTCTCACAACTCTCTCTCAGGGGAGTGAGTTGCACTGAGCCATTTGTAGTGCTTTATAATTTAACCGTTCATTTCTTATATTATATATTTATCTGTATATGATTTAACAGTTCATTCCTTGTTATATATCTAATTATCTTTATAAATAAATATATTATCAGCAATTTGGTTTTATCTCTCTGGAGAACCCTGTCTTAACACAGATGGTCAAGAATTTTAACTCTAGTCTTGACTTTTCCATTACAAAAGCATGATCTGCTGTGTCTATCAATGTGTAAGACACAGATAAATACAAAATTCCATACCAGAAAGCTTTTCTAGCACAGTGGAATTACTATATTCAGGTAATATTTGAGAGCCAACTGAAGTCAGAGCATTGTAGAGCTAGAAGAGTCCCTAGGCCTGCGGTTCTCAAACTGTGGGTCGTGTCCCCTTTGGGGGTCGAACAACCCTTTCACAGGGGTCATCCGAATCATAATAGTAGCAAAATTACAGTTATGAAGTAGCAACGAAAATAATTTTATGATTCGGGGGGGTCACCACAACATAAGGAACTGTATTAAAGGGTCACCGCATTAGGAAGGTTGAGAACCACTAGACTAGGCCCACACAATCTCATCCCTGTATGTTACAGATGAGAGATATGATCCCCAGAGAAAAACTATTTCCCTGAAAACACACACCAAGATAAGGGATAAGCTAGGATTAATACCCAATTGGTAGCAGTATGGTGTAGTAGTTAAGATTATGGCCTTTGAAGTCAGTTAATTTGGTTCTAACCCCAGCTTTGGCATCTAATGACTAACAATTAACAAAGCTTATCTGTGCCTCAGTTTTCTCATCTGCAAATTGAGAAGCCCTCATGATAGGATGATTAAATAATCAGCTGCTAACCTAAAAGTCAGCAGTTCTAAGCCATCAGGCCACTAGGCAGGGGGAAAGATACAGTGATCTGCTCCCATAAAGATTAACAAAAGCAACAAAAACTGATGCATAGCAACCCCATATAAGGATTCTGGGAGTTAAAAAAAATTTTTTTTAATTAAAAAAAAAGGATTCTGGGAGTACACAGTCTCATCTTTCTTCTATGGAGTGGTTGGTAGGTTTGAACCACAGACCTTGCTATTAACAGCCCAACACCAAAGCAGCCAGGGTTCCATCCCCCAAAGATTACACATAAAAAACCCACTGCTATAGAGTTAGTCATAGCAACTCTATATACAGTTTCCAATACTGGAAACCTTTACAGGAGCAGACAGTCTCAACTCTCCTGCAGAGCAGTTGGTGAATTTGAACTGCTGACTTTTCAGGTAGCATTTTGACACTATGGCACCACCCAGGTCCCCAAAGATTAAAGCCCAGAAAATGTTGTGGGTCAGTTCTTCTGTCATATAGAGGCTTATGATTGAAATTGACTCAGTGATACAAAGCAACAAATAAGAGGTAATAATAATTACACTAAATTACTGTAAAGATTAAATGTAACAAGCACTCAATAAAAATTAGATCTTCATTCATCATTTGTCTTAAAGTTCAATCTCCTTTACAAGATACGACAATGCCTTTAATCAATGAATATGGAGTGGACATTGAAGTCAAGATTGAATAACAACAAATAAATGTTTATTTTTGTTGTAAATCCTTAAAATAACACAAACATACAAATACTTCCCTGTGGATAAGTGAAATTTAAAAAAAAAAAAGGACCACAATATTTATTGAGTTCCTATGCCAGAGCAGTATGAGATGAAAAAACAGAAACTCAACTTTAATGAGCAAATTCATTAGAAAATACAATGACCCTCACATATATCTATAATATCTGTACAGCAAATTTCTTTCATGTACTCAAGTTAAAATAATATAAGCTAACACAATGGCTAGATATAAATATGTATACGTACCATGTCTCATTATAAACTGGGATATGTTTTAGAATTAAAGTCTATGTCATTTCTGTATCAATCATTTCAACTAGTTTTACTAAATTCCCTGAACATGAGGCCATTTTCATTTCCCCTCATAAAACAGGGTATTAGAATGGGCAGGTTTAATCCTACTCCCTTAAAATGTGTGACAATTGCCATCTGTCTGAAGGGTACATGAGAGAAATAGAATGGCTTTGCTAATAATCAGCAACTATAATTCCTTATAGAGCATTTTAAAGTTCATTTTTATAAATCAGGGTTCATTCACTCATTTTTTTCTTGCTACACACAAACACACATGTACATATATAAACGTGTGTGTGTGTGTGTGTGTGTGTGTGTAAAGAGACAGCTGTCACTCAAGGTTTAAAGTCTTCAATATGCTGATGATCTCTAGATACTTTGTACTATAATAATACCAGGTGTTATGCCAATGTACAATACAGGTGCTTGAATAAGGATGATAAAACCAGCCCCAGACCAACAAAATAGACTGAATTATTTATACATGGAAATTCTATATGGTGAACACATTCCTTAAATTCTCTTTATTCTCAAGTTTGGCAATCCAATTGACTTATGAATGTGCAATACCATCTATCCAATTCTGGCTGAGAGTGAAATATAATGATTTTGGTGCTTATTGATGAAATGAAATATAAAGGAAAAATTTTTTAAATCTATATTTTTGGAGTCACATTGAGTTCACATTTCAGTAGTGCTGTGCAATTATATGATTAGTGGGAAATCACTTCTCTGAGTCTCAATATAAAGTGTTAATTGTAATAAAAATTTAATATAATGACTAAAGTACCTGACGGACAGTGGTCAACTCCAACTCATATAATCTCTACTGCACAGGGTAGAACTGCCTCTGGATTTCGAAGACTAACTTTCTGAAAGTGGAAAGTCTCTTCTTTCTCCTGAGGAGCAGCTGGTGGTTTTGAACTGCTGACCTCACCGGTTAGCAGCCCAACAAGTAACCACTATGCCACCAGGGCTCCTTGTATCTACTAATAGTTATTATTAAGTGATCAGCTATATTCATTTGAATGATGATATAAAAAATAATGAACAATGATGTTTTTAAATGGTAAGCTCTGGTTATCTAAACAAGATTCAGAGTACGAATAACATCTAATCTGCCTGAAGAAATTCACCACTCTTGCAACTGAAAAAACAAAGGGGAAAAAATACAAGACACAATAAAAATGACAAAAATGGACCACATAGTGAGGTCACAAAAATTTACTGAATGATTAACCCACAAGGAGATTAGAAGATCAACGTGCTGCTCAAGGGGCCACAAGGCATTTGCCTGATGCATTGGGGCCTAGAACTTTTTTTTTCCTTTTTCTTTAAGGTAGAGTATTTAGAAAACGAATCAAGTTACATGTTATGGAGTGGCATGGTTGGTGATGATTTGATATAAGGTGATAAGTGAAGAATACTTACTTGAACAAACTGGTATTACTTAAGAAAGGGAAGACACCATGGTAAGCTGCAATGCATCTTTCAAATCTTCAAGCACCTTTCCTCACATAATCCCTTAGGTCGGAAGCAATTTTTCTTCACATCTACTCCATAAGCAGTTCTCCATCCCAAAATCTTCTGAACATAGGATGCCGGCAGCAGAGGACAACCACTACTTTCTAAAAGCGCATCTACTTGAACACTGGCTTCCAAAAGATAAAACGGCTATGTAGGGCCCGTGCATAAAACTATAAATTTGCTCTTATAGCTCTTTATCTTGTAGCATCCAGGAAAACAAAGACCATTCATCACATCCAATTCAACCGGCTGGGAAAGCATACCTTTAATTCTAAACTAGGAATGGCCCCCTCACTCCACCAGCCAAATGTTTGTGAAAGATGTCAACTTCACACTCCCAGGTCAGGGGCCCAAGGCTCCCTAGATGGATTGTAAAGCAGTTCTTGAGAGCACCTAGGGGGGCTAAATCCTGCCAATGGGAGGAGCTGAGAACACCCCTTAAAGACCAGTAGGGTTCCCAGCAAGCGCAGATCTGTGCCAGCTGCCCTCCGCCTAGCCTGGGGCCTCTCAGGCCATAGGGTCAGTTGCAAACAGGGGCACCTCCCGGCGCCCTGGTGACGTCGTGGGTACACGTTGGGCGGCAAACTGCACGGTCTGCAATTTGGAACTACCGGCCGCTCAGAGGGAGAAGGACGAGGCTCTGCTCCATGAAGAGTTGAGAGTCTGGGAAACCCACGGGGGCAGTACTACGCTGTCCTATCGGGTCGCTATGAGCCTGAATCGACTCGATGGTCGGGAGTTCGATTTTATTTTATTATTTTAATGATGTACTACGTCGAGGTCCTAGGGCCTTCTGTGGCCACACTGCGGGATGGAGACTTTGACTCACTCTGCGCCCCCCCGCCTTGCGGTCCAGTCAAGACGTTCCTGAAAGCGTCGGCCGGAATTAAGGAACTAGGAGGTAACCCATAAAATCACTCACCAGTTTCACACCTCCGGCGTTGACCCGAAAGACGTGTGACCCGCCCTCTGGTCACTTCATCAAGCCTGGCCCCCGCTCAACTCCTCCCTGACGACAGCTCCAGAGCGTCACTGACAACCATCCGGAAATCCCACAATCGCTTCCGGGTCCGCTGAGCGCGGCGGGAAACGATTTCCCAGAGCCCGGATTAGTGAAGCAGCCAGTGCTGCGGCGGCACTCGTCGCCTCCGCCTCCACCGACTCCTGAGGGAAGCCGCCCAGACACTCCGACCGGGAAGGTAAAGGGTCTCCTCTCCGAAGACACACTGTACGATGCCTCTCTCGGGGTGTTTCTAACCCCGGGCTGTGCCCCTGGAAGTTTCGGCCGGTCCCTGGCTGGAAAACGGGAAAGGGTCCAAAAGTGGACGGCGGCGATGCCCACCTAACGCGCTTTCCTCCGCCACCTTCCGCCCCCCACTTGGCAGGAGCCCGCCGTCCGCCCTCGCTGGTGGACGGCGGCCACTGACTGACCTGAGACCCCGCGCCCGGGCGCCCCTCCCCCACCTCCCGTAGGCGTCGTTCAGCCCCTGGGTCCCCGGCCGGGCTGGCGCTTTCTAGGGCGCTGGCGTCCCGCGTTTCCATAGAACCCACGGAACGCCTTCCCTGTCGCCCCGGAGGCTTGGCGGCGCTCCATAGGTTAGCGTCACGGAAGGTGCCTGGAATCCGCCGGGCCCGCCTCCTTTGACCAAACTGTGGTCTCCTCCTCTCCCCAAGGGAATGTTGAAGGCTATGCCAGTGCCAGGAGCACTACGTGCGCGGCCAGGGTGCGAGTCAGTGCCCACGTAGGCCTTTGCGCTCGCACACACGCCCACCCACGAACACACACTGGCCCTCTTTCCCCAGAAGGAAGTTCTGTCTACCTGGGGATTGTCCCACCTCAGCTGTCTGGATAGGTGAGAGACAAAATGAGCATCCTGAGCTTTCTCCGCTTTCTAAGCCTCTGATTAAATCTAGGAGCGAAAATTGGACTGTCTCTGGTATGCTGTACTCGGGACCTTCAAAAAGTTCTTGGAGGGCGGGGGGAATTATAGTTTCATTCCATTTTATGTGAGGAGCATAAGGATTTGTCCCGGGAATTAGGTGGAGCTTGACCTTGGAGACCAAGAATTTTTTAGACTAATTAATAACTTCACCGACAAAAAATAAAGCGGAGGCATTTGAGTTGAGTCATGGGGAATGAAAATGTACACCATTCATAAGTGCACATTCGACAGACATTACGAGTGGTTGACCTTTGTTACCTCAATTCCTAAAAATAACACAAAATCCATAAGCAAGATGTCTGTAATTTAAGAAACTGCGACTACCCTTACCTCAAAGAGTTCCCCATTTAAACTGACAATTTACAATGGAATTTTATAGGGTAGTAAATTGGATTACTTCCAGGTTAACTCAAGCACTATTCTTAATTTAAATGAAAAATCAAGAGACTGAGTCATGTTAGCTCCTTTCTGAAGAAATGCGATTCATGTAAATAAATGCTGTGAAATAAATCTATAAGAGGAGCGTGGTCCATCTGGGTCAGCAAGTAAGCAAACAAACTTTGAAAATACCAAAGTCAGCTGACTGGAGTCACACCAAGGTGCCTAACTTGAGGCCCAAACCCTGAGGGAAAAGAGCTCTATGGCTTCACTTTTACAGCTTTAAATGCATGCACACACACATACTGATTTTTGTTTTGTTAGTTGCTATTCCTGTGTTGAGTCATGTGTTTCAGAAGAATGCCAGGCTTAACTTCTGTGGTGCTTCTCTTGGTAGACATGAACCCCCAAATTTGCAGTTAGTCTGGCAGTTAACCACATGTGCTCCTCAAGGAAGGTTCACCTCTGTGTATGTTGTTGTTAAGAGCGCTAAGGTCAGTGCAGGCCCAGAGAGCTTATATGGAATAGAAGGAAACACTTCCTAGTCCTGCACCAGCCTCACAATTGTGCTATGGTTGAGCTCATTATTCCAGACACTGTCACTCTGTCTCATTGAAAATCTTTTTTCCCATTGACCCCCTACTTTTCTAAGCATGATGTCCTCATCCGGGAACTCGTCTTTCTCAGTAATATGTCCAAAGTACATTAGACCAAATCTCAACATGCTTGTTTCTAAGAAGCATTCTATTCTAGCATTACTACTTCTGAGACAGATTTGTTTGTTCTTCTGGCTGTTGGTAGGTGCCATTGAGGCTGCGCGGACTTGGGAACCTATGTACAACACAAGGAAACACAGCTAGTTCTGTGCCATACTCAACATTTGCTATATTTGAGTGCATTGTTGCAGCCACTGTGCCCCATCCATCTCTGTCATTTGTTGTTCCAGAAGCCCATGGTACTTTTAAAATTCTTTGGTACCACCCAAACTCAAATGCATCAATTCTTCTCTGGTCTACCTTACTGTGGCATGGTAAATAACTGTCTTCCAGTTTTCCTGCCAAACAAAAAGGAGCTCCTCATGTGCTGCATCCTTTTGTTGAAACGTTAACTGGTATTCTGCCTATTCCTGTAGACCTGTTTTTCTCGCCAATGTTTTCAGTGCAGCCTGAACTTTCAGTACCATCAGTTCTTGATTATATGCTCCCTGAGGTGAACATGAACCACTTCTTAATATAATAAGTCTTTCCATCATCTTTTTTGTGTTTCCTGTGTATAATAAACAGTAATGATGGTCCATATCTGAGCTCCTCTGACTTCCCTATTGCCAGGAGGCAAGGGTCCGACATGCCTCCATGCTCCATCCTTCATAACGTATTTTGACACCAACTGTTCCTCCCTTGCCACTGTATATCTGTGTGGGGTTTGATCACTTATTGCAGTGGCCACTCAGAGAATGCTCACAATTAAGAGGGTTTATTAGGGAAGTCGATAGGTTACCATAGTCAGGATCAACAAACAGTAAAAATACATTCATTGGTCTCTTCAGCCAGCAGCCAAGTCTCTCAGTGTCTCAGACACATGGTCCCTTGGCCCTTAGCCTCCATGGGCCAGGAAGCCAGCCCACCTGTCACTTTGTCTTACAGTTCCATAGACTCAGACCAGATGAGGAGAGGTCCCCCATTGTCTCAGTGCTGCTCCTCTGAGTCTCAGTGCCAAAGTCGGTGATGCATCTGGCCTCTGCCACTTCAGACAGGGATCTTGGACTTACTTTACCAAGCCCCTGGGGTTCCTCCCTGCTCATCCTTGAAGCTGGGGCCAGGGAGGGACCGGTAATGAAAACTGGCCAATCTCTTAGTGTTAGGCGCGTCCTATTGGCATAGTTCCACCAATCATTTGGTGGGAATTACAGAGACTTGAGTCAGAGTCATATTCAGAAATTGCTCTCTAATATCACAACTCTAAAAGTTTAGATTTACTTCAGTTCTTTCAGCGTGAGAAATACCAAGTGCATTCTACTCTTGATTTTCTAGCTCCAGGTCTTGTGCACATTTCATATAATGATTCGTCTGAAGCCACCCTTCGGAATCTAATCTTCAGTGCTTTCATTTCATCTTCTATTTGCTTTAAAAATAAAAACTAAACTCACCGCCTTCACACGTTAACGCTGACTCAGAGCAACCCTATAGGACAGGGTGGAATTACTCCTGTGAGTTTCCAAGACTGTACCTCTACAGAAGTAGAAAGCCGTAGCAGCTAGTAGTTTCAAACTACTGACCTTGTAGTTAGCAGCCCAACACATATCATTACATTACCAGCTCTTTAGGCGCTCTGTTATTTAAAAACAAGCTTCTCTTGTTCTTAAGAGAAGAACAAGCTTCTCTTAAACAAGAGTCTCTTCTGGCATCCATTTTCGTCTTCTTTTTAATGACCTTTTGATTGATGTCATCTCACTACTTGTCTGGTCATTAACATTCAACAGTTTCTAAATTAACGTGAGTTATAATTAAAGTCATACTTTGGGCCTGGTGTACTTTAGTTTAATTTTTTTCTTCAGTATTTTACTGTCACAGCCTGAGTACTGTGACATGTGTCCACCTTTTAAAATTAGTTTAAAAATAGGGACCTAGCACTGTTCATGAAGCCTTGGTGACATGGTTAAGGGCTCAGCCTGGTTCTGGCATCAGTAAGTCCATCTGAGAAAGATGTGGTACGGTGCTTTATGTAAACATTTACAGGCCTGGTAGCCCTGGGGAGGAGCTCTCTGTTCTGTTCTACAGCGTCGGTGAGTCAGACTTGTTGGAACTGACTTAACAGGAAAGGACAATGTTTCACTGACCCTTTTCAGTCTTAGTGTTTACATTTACTTTCCCGGGTAAAGTAAGAGAAATCAGAAAACACTTTATTTCAAAGCAACAGTATTGATTTAATTCGGGACATGCTATATCTACAGAAGAAGGCAGTTTTAAAATACTTCTGCGTAGTTTGTTGTAAGAGTAGGTTTAATATCAAAATAAATTAGTATACCATGAACATTAAATATTACCAGTTTTCTTCATGTGGCCTTACGTAATTTTATAGACTATTTAATGGCATAGAAAAATTCTCATAGTAATTTTACATAAAAATTAAGATATGAAATTATGTGATATCTATACTTTTGTTGTATACATATATACCCTGTTTCCCCGAAAATAAGACAGTGTCTTAAGTTAATTTTTGCTCCCAAAGATGCGCTAGGTCTTATTTTCAGGGGATGTCTTATTTTTCCATGAAGAATAATACGGTACATATTTAATGTTTATTGTTTTATTTTATTAAAAGAGACCTCGCACTTCTTGTTTGTTCCAGCTGCGCTGCAGCCAACAGTGAGCTGCGCGGCGGCACCTGCTGCTAACGTCCAGAGTCCAGAGTTACGGTAGCTTCGGGGGCCTTATTTTGGGGGAGTTCTTATATTCAGGGGGCTACCTTATATTTCAGCAAGAGGCAGAACTGTAAGTAGGTTTTATTTTCGGGGCATGTCTTACTTTCGGGGAAACACGGTAGTAATCCCTCACTTGTCAAATTCAACTTGTTAAAATTTGTGTTCGAACAATGAAAAATTTGAAAACTGACCCTATTTTTCCCATAAAGAATAATGGAAAGCCAAATAAATGGTTCCGAGGTCCAAAAATGACACTTAGAAATTTTTTTCCAGGACTTTAAATCACTATGGAGACTCTTGGACTTCTTATATATCAGTCTGGGATACACTATCACCATCCAGCTGTTTCTGATTTATCCAAATAAACAACAACTCTTGATGGTCTAGGACCATCAAAGACCATCAAAGTCATTGATGGTTAATGACTTCCCACCTTTCACTGCATAAGCTGCTTAATCTCATTTTGTTTTTAGTTTCCCCCCCAAAATGTTGATAAGGTCAACTTAGTCCTGTTGTATTCAGTCACCAAATCAGTTAAGTGGCAACCTGATTCAAATTTCGCAATGTTTTTCTTTACTCTATCATAGTTCTTACAGTTTTCCTTAGCTTTACTGCTGATATCGAATTCTAGGAAGCCAGGATTACATATATTACGTAAATAAAGCTCAGAAATAAGCACAGTGACAAATGTTGTAGCGTACTAACACAAGCACTGTATGTTGTCTGAGGGAGGGCAGCACTTAGGACTGACAGGATGTGGCACTTTGTCCAAGACAGGAAGCAATCTCAGCCATTCACGTTTTTTTCAAGTTGGATTTTCGGTTCGACTGCACAGTTTTTCTGAACTTTACTGTTTAGTTAGTAGGAAGTTTGAGCTTGGAGCCATTTCTACAACCATGTCTACCTTCACACCCATGCATACCTCATTCACAAACGCATCTGTGAAAAATGCCTGTATCAGCCTCCTGTACCTCCACATATTAAGTGTGATATCACAGGATGAAAAGGTTAGAGATGATTTTGAACTTTTCTTCATACTTTGCAAGATTTTTCAAATTGTAATAATTGTGGATCATCAGAGTTATTAAAAGATCAAATTTAGTGAAGGTTATTTTGGGGAAAAACAGATTTTAAACATAAGTGTATAAACTAGATATTTTTACAAGTTCTTTTATTTATTTTTGTTCATGATAACTTACAATGTGTAAAATGGATTACCTTCTCAAAGTTCTTTTGTGTACAGAGCTGATCATGAAGCAGATTGTAATGTCAGGTAGAGTTTAGCTTTTACTTACCTCCAGTAGACCTCTTTGTATATTCCTGTACCCCTCCACTCCACCCCCCACCGCACCCCAGGACTCTCCTACCCCACAGTGAGACCTTGCTATTCTAATCAGACCAAACTAAATCTGACCTCTGCGTTCAAGTCTGTGTTTCTGCCCCTTACTTTCTGCCTTTCCTACATGTTTTGCAATTTTAAACTTGTTCAACTTCTGTGCCATGTTCTAAAGAATCAAAGGGATCTTAAAAGCTAGCAGGTGCTACAATGATCTTAATTACCTTGCGGAATCCTCTAGCTTCCTTTGCATTTCCAACTGATGTTAGCTGCAGAGGAATGTCAGGCATCAGGGATAGGCCCCTGTGGGAGATATATTGGGAAAGTCCTTACCACAGAGACATTTGCTTCATCTACTTAAAGGCCAGCTCTGTTCATAGTCAGTACCTCCGTAGTTGTGGCAATATATGGTTCAAGGTAAGTAGATTTTTTTTCAAAATTTGAATAGATATAATAAGACCTTTTCCTTTCATTCTAAGTGCTAAAATAGTACTGTATATGTGTATGTGTGATTGTGTGTGTGCTTAATCCTACAGGGTCATAGGAACAATCACCAAACCACAAATTTTAGAAGAATACATAAAATTGTATCTGCCTGTGTACACATATATCTAAATCTACCTATAGAACTATAGATGCCTATATTATACATATTTGAGGCATATATATATGCCTATACATATATTTTCAAAAATTCATGGGAAAATGGAATTAAAAGTAACTGGAATTTTTCCATGAACTTTTTTGAAGCCCTGTCATATAAATAACAACTTTTCCATTTAACTATGAATATATCTGTAATCTAGGCTATTCCCTTGTTATATTGCCTGGTTTTAAAATGTGTTGCTATATGTGTTGTAAGCTCTGTTGTTTCAAGTAGGTCACTTTATTATAGGAAGACATTAGACCAAGTTAATGAAATTAAAGCAGCAACAACAATAACATAAACCTTGCTAGTTAATGTGAGCCATACCTGGGATTCACAAGTTTTCGAATGTTTAGACAATACCCCCAGTTTTTCTTTTAACCTTGGGTGTAAACACCCTGTGTTCTGATTTGTTGCTAACACATCCATATTTGCATTATAATTGAATAAAATTTCTTCATTTTTCACCTGTTTTCCATCCCTCTTATCTTTTTCAGCATGTTTGATTTCAATTTCTTATTTAATCATTCAAAGGAAACAAATGAATATAAAAAGGCTTTTCTGGCATATTTGATCCTGTTTTTATTTAACTATGTATTCTGATTTTGACAGAAAATAATGTTAAATAGATAAAATGATTATTTCCAAGGCATTCCATTCATTATAAAGATTGTTTGGTCTAAGGTGAGAACTTTGTACACTGACTCTATTTTGTCAAGGAGTTAATTCCAATTCAGCTTGAGGTTTACAGCCCAGCTAGTAACCCACTACACCACTAGGGCTTCCTATACTGACTCTAGTCAGTTTGAATAATTTAGTAATATATTTTAAAACCTCCAGCTCTGGGAGAGAGACCAGGCGATGTGCTTCTGTTAGGTCACACAGCCTTGAAAACCCATACAGTTAGTAGTTCTACTCTTCACACTGGAGCTTCATGTCAACATCAGCCTGATTTGCTTAACAACCAACACCACCTTGATCTGAAAAGCATAGTGTGATTTTATTTCGTGCAGCTTTGCATCACATGCATTTAATTCTTAGGCCCTGTTAAAAAAGAACAGAAAGAAGAAGCTTTTTTTAAAAAAAACTTTTTGGGAGCAGCACAGCAATGAATTTTTCCAAGTCTTTTTGGTCTTTTCCGATTGCTTTCTCACATCAACATTTTAGGATAAACCGGTAAACGAGCTTTTAAGGTTTGAATACTCATGTTCCCTTCCTTTAACATTTCTTAAGAGAGCCTACTAAATAGCTTTTGAAACACTTTAATACATAAATAAAATACAAGTTGTATAAATTCTGTAGGACCATTCATTCTCCCCACTTCTCCAGTGACTCACATATTCTTCAGTGTCTGTCCATAATCTCTTTACAAATCTGTATAAAATCTGGTTGTTGTTAGTGTGATTTTTTTTTAATGCTCTTACCAACAAACCATAGTACTAAACTAAAACTAGTTTTTTTAAAATTATTATGTATTATTTATATGATCATCCTATTTTGTATAATTATATAATTCTTAGGTGTGTTTTACTGGCAAGTACTGTAATAAATTATTGCAGACTTTCCAGTTTTAAGGCAGAAACTAAATGCTTATCTTTATTTAAGGTCATGTTATGAGAAGATTGCTTTTGAAACTAGTTTCCATTATACATAAGTAATTTTCACATTGCTAGTTACAATTTAGCCATAGGTGTTTAATTCATTAGATATTTAAAATTTTAAATAGGTTTTTTAGCACTCATAGTTAAGAAATACTGTTAAAAGAGAAAGCAATGTCAGCATTGTAGTAATATATTTTGTTTGTTGTCTTCATTACATGTGTATATGGTAGATGGAAGATGATGACCCAAAGCATGTCATTCAGATGACAGGATTTAGGATGGAAGAAAAGGAAGCTTTAGGCAAATTGCTCTTAAAACTGAATTGCACTTTTATTAATAGTGAGGTGAGTATAGAATCTTAATTATCAAAATGTTCAAGATATAGCTAAAAGATTACATGCTGTCTTTAAAGTGCTAAAGTGTTTCCTTGATATGTAAGAATAAACGGTGTGTTGTAAAGGAAATCTTGCTTCAGTAACATTTCTTCATGTTATTTCCCCTTTAGAAATACAAAAATTGTACACATCTTATAGCTGAACGCCTGTGCAGGAGTGAAAAATTTTTAGCAGCTTGTGCAGCAGGTAAGTTGAGGGGCTTGCCCTAAAATAGAATTTTATTTTTGTTCAAGGGGGAAAAAAAACAATTTTATGAGTAAATTTAAATACTCTAGAAAGACACCATAAAGTATATCAGCTATAAATGTAGCTTTTAATGATATTTTTATGAAAATATTTACATCTGACATAACAATATTTGTTTTACTATTTTTCTGAATAATAATTTACAATTCATTAAAAAGGTATTAAAAATCATTTTAAAGAAATATTACCAAGTATTTACCATCTTAATGCTTAATATAGGTGTGGCGGTTGATTCATTAGTCCAAAAGATTTGGCATTTTCTCAGCTATACAGCTATTCTCAGGAAACTTTCTTTGAATTATCAATGGAAATAGTGTCTTTGTTTTTTTCAACTCTCTCCACACCCACTGCCTCCTTCCCATTCATGCTATGAAGCGATCATAATATTTTATTTTTCTAAAATATTACATTCTAAACTCAAAATTGTGTCAAAATCTACTCCTATCACCCTTTCTCTTGGTATTCCTTCTATCATTTTCTCTACTGTGAGTCCTCTAACATATCATTAAATGTCCACTGAATGGAAAACTAAACAGATGGCCATATTTATTGAACTGAGGTAATTTAATACTTCAACTTTTAGAAGTGTTTTAGAGGCCAGAAAAGTTTTAGAAGCCAGAAAAACACTTGAATTCATCATCATTCTCACAAATGAATGCATAAAATGTCCTTGCTGTGTACTCAAGTCATCGATGCCCACCCAGATAAGGAAATAGTTACAATGGTATTAACTATCCAGAAATTATCTGAACTTAATAAATTTGTTTTTATAATTAACAATGCTGTGGATATTATTGGAAAACTTGCTTTATCAAAGTGGAAGAATAGAAAACAAACCCACATTATGAATAATAATTATAATAATAACAAAAATTTAGGTAATACTGTATTTTTATCTTAGACTTTGATACCTTATATTTGTCTTTTATTTGCAACATTTAGAGTTATTAAATGTCATGACATACAATGTTCAGTGATGTAAGCGACCTGCTATCAAAAAACATTGTAGCATAAAAATAATGTTGGTAATGCCCTCTCACATTGAGATATGTTAATATTCATTTGCCAGTTGATGTTTATTATTTACCACTGTCAGAACCAGAATTATTTTGTGTGTGACAGTTCATTTGCTTTCCAGGAAAGTGGGTACTAACTAAGGATTACATAATTCATAGTGCCAAAAGTGGCAGATGGCTTGATGAAACAACTTACGAATGGGGATATAAAATTGAAAAAGACTCCCATTATTCACCTCAAATGCAATCTGCACCTAAAAGATGGCGCGAAGAACTGAAACGCACTGGTGCTCCAGGAGCCTTTCACAGATGGAAAGTTGTCCTCCTTGTTAGAGCTGATAAACGAAGTGATTCACTTGTAAGGTAGGATGAGATCTCAAAAATTGAAGTAATGAATGAGGAAACTGTTTTGATTTGCGTGCAAAAACCATTTGGGTTTGCATGAATACCTTTTTGTACTTCTCCATAATTAATAATCTTATCCAAATGAGCCATAGTGTCTTACTCTTTGATTTCCTGGTTAAGCCCTTGTACTCATTTAAGTGTATGTGTCACTAATAGAGCAAAATGTGCTTCTAGTATTGCTTTTGATGATTCTAATGAGTTCTGTTGCGCCTCCCACGTTGTTATTTTTTTTGGCCAAGTATAGTAAATCTAATAAATTAATTGGGAGGTAATTACTTTTATCCTTGAAGCACTTTTAGATTTTGGAAGTAGAATATTATATCATCACAAAAAACTTTCTTCTGGGTTATGTAGTACTGCTTTCATGACCGATGTTTTTTCCATCATTTTATTTCATTTTATCCTTTGCATCATATTTTTAAAGGCTTCTCATTAGATAAACTGCATTCTTAGGCTGTCACTTCTTTTTTCTGGAAGAGAATAGAAAGGCTTTTTATCGTCTTTGTTGAAGTATGATTACAGACAATAAAATTTTCCTATATTTGGACAAATAACATATGCTCATGTTACCCCCAATGTAATCAAGATCAGTGACATATCATCCTATTATGTTCCTTTGTGTCTTGGCACACTAACACAAGGTCCAGGGAATCACTGATTTGATTTCCTGTTTGTCACTATATATTAGTCTTTTTCAAAGATTCATATAAATAGGATCATGTATATTTACTCTTCTGGTATTTTGGTTGCCCCATACAATATTTTTAAGATTTATCTCTGGTTATATGTATCTGTAGTTCATTCCTTTCTCTTGCTGAGTAGTATTCTACTGGAGCAATATATTTATTTATTACTTATGGACATTTAAGGAATCCTGGTGGCATAGTGGGTTATTCATTGTGCTGCTGAACACAAGGTCCATGGTTCAAAACAACTAACCACTCTGTGGCAGAAAGATGAGGCTTTCTAGTCCAGTATAGAGTTGCAGTCTCAGAAACCCACAGGGGCAGTTCTACCCTGTCCTACAGCGTCATCTGAGTCAGAATTGACTCAAAGGCAGTCAGTTTGCTTGGTTATTGGTAGACACATTTAATTAATTGCCCATTTTTATTAATATGACTAAATGATGAACATTTCAACCTAAGTTTTCCATGGTACATGTTTTTATTTTTCTTAGGTAATTATAGAAGGATAAAGTTGCTGGCTCAAATGGCAAGTGTGTTTGTCACGAGGGTTTGAAAAATTCATGGAAAAAAATAATTAAGATACTCAAATTCTTCCACAAACTTTTAAAGCCCCTTCAAAGTGTTGGTCCATTTCTGTATTGAGGTAGGCAGTGCAGTAAACAAAAGAAATAAAAGAGGGGGGAAAATGCATGGCTAGTTGTCTGTCTTTCCAAAAGATAGGACCATGTACTAAAACTTTACAAATTAAAAAAAACAAAACAAAAGACAAACTTCTAGCACTAATACATGAATTTTGCAAGACCACGGATAACAGAATGTGCAAAATTAATTGTATTTCTATGTACTAGCAATGACAATTGGTAACTTGAATTTAAAAAGAAATATACTATTTTTTTGTTTCCTAAGCATTCTCTATTGTTCATCCAGTTGTTTAATTGATTTCTACACTTGGGTTTTATTCCTTTCTTCTTAGGGCTTATTTTTCTAGGTCCTTAAATTCAAAGCTTTCCTCTCTTCTAATATCAATTCCTTTAAGTACGGCTTTATCAGAGTCCCATAATGTTAGATTAATTGTGTTTACTCTTTCATTGAGTTCAGAGCATTTTAAAATTTCCCTTTTGGTTTCTTTGTCCCATTGCTTAAATACAAGTTTCTTGTGTAATTATGTAATATTTGGAAGTTTTCCAAATATTTTTCTATTGCTGAGTTCTCATTTAATTATGCGTTGTCAGAGAATATACTTTGTATATCTGAATCTATTTGCTAGAATTTGTGTTTTGGTCCCAAATGTGGTTTAGCTAGGTAGATACCTTATGTGCGGTAGGGAAAAAAGCCTATTCTGTTGTTAATGGGGCAAGTGTTCTATATATGCTAATTAAGTCAAGTTGTTTGATGTTTTTCAATCTTCTGTATCCTTCCTGATTTTCTGTATTCTTGGGCTATCAATTACTAACAGTGGAGGTGTGTCAGATTGGGTTCTCTGGAGAAACAAAACCAGTAATGCTGTCATATGTATGTATATAAAACGAGATTTAGATCAAGAAATGCTTTACACATGTAAGCTAATGTATAAGTAGGTTGCATCCAGTTTAGTTCGAGTCTGTGGGTCAGGCTGATGAAGCTGGAGACTGATGAAAGGAAGCAGGATGACTATAGGCTGGTAGATGCAGTTCACTTGGAATTCGTAGGTCAGATGTAAGCCAGTGGCTTCTCCTGATTTGTGTAGCCAAGGAATCTGATAAGCAGCAAGCAGGATGACAAAGCAGGAGGGCCACAGGCTGGTGGATGCAGAGGAAAATAAATCTGAGGTTGGCCAAATATATCCCAGGTTGACAGTTTGCTGATGACTCCTGGGATCTGCAGGCAGCAGAATAGGAGATTGATGAGCCACTTTCAGGATTCAGATCTAGTAAAAGGTGTGAAGGACAAAATTGCTCAGCTCTGCTCTGGACTTCTGATGAAACAAAAGGCTATAATGCCCAAGGAGGTGTCATTAGGCTACAACTTGATTCATAGTTTAGACTCCACCCCTACCTTCATCCAAGAGCATCTATTTGACTGAATTCTTATCAAGAAGAAGCTTTGAATTTTCAAACTATAAGAGTGGTTTTATAAGTTGTTACTTTGAGGACTAAAATGCGCCTGACTCAAGCCATGGTATTTTCTATTGCCTCATATGCATGGGAAAGTTGGATATTGAATAAAGAAGAAATCCACACATTTGAATTGTGGTATTGGAGAAGAATATTGAAAGTACCATGACTGCTAAAAGAACCAGCTGATCTATCTTGGAAGAAGTATGGCCAGAGTGCTATTTAGTGGCAAGGATGAGAAGACTTTGTCTCACTTACTTTGGATATGTTGTCAGGAGAGACCAGTCCCTAGAGAAACACATAATGTTTGGTAAAGTGGAGAGGCAGCAGAAAAGAGGAAGGCCCTCAATGAGATGGATTGACACAGTGACTGTAATAGTGGGCTCCAGCATAGCAACAGATGATGCGAGATGGAGCATTGTTCTGTTGTGTATAGGTTGCTATGTGACGGAACTGACTCCATGGTACCTAAAAACAGTAAGAGTGGTTTTCCTTCTGTGTCCTTTCAGTACTATTACTAGAGATCAATGTACTTGGTTAGCTTGTGACCCCTAAACTCAAATGGGCTCAAGATGGGCTTTTTTTTATTATTATTAAATGGTGTGTGACTTTATAAATCCTAAGAAGAGCAGAAGTTTCTTGAAACTTTGGGGATAGATTTATCTTTATGACTGTCTTTTGAGTCTAAATGTAAATTGCATATCTTAATGTGGATCAAGGTTAAACTTTTTTGGAAGCACGTTTCTTAGAGGAGATTGACAACTGGTTCCATTTTTGTGGTCCAGAATGCTCCTGCTGGGAGTTACGTTGCCTTTCAAAGTTAGTTGCTTCTTTGGCTTCTTTAGTGTTCTTTTGGCTTAGTGATGTGACTTTCCATTAGAAAAATAATTCAATACTCTTGTTTCTTAATACTCTTTTCCATGTTAAGAAATTGTTAGATATAAAGAATACCTTGAGTTCTTAAGAATCTGCTTTGAACAACTTAATGATTTAAGAAATTATACTGCAATCCTTGTTCTCAGTGGTACCCGAGTAGCCTGAAGGGATCAATCTATCTCAGAAAGTTCTGCTCCTACTTTTAGAATGTTAGTTCACTAGGGGTACCATAGCAAAATGACACAAAGGGGTGACTTTAAGGGATAGAAACTTATTTTCTCAGTTTTGTAGGATAGAATTCCCGCCTCTAAGGGAAGCTCCCTTCTTGACAGAAGCTGTGGAAGTTCCTTAGTATTACTTGACTTGTAGAATAGTTCCTCACATGGTCCCTCCTTCTGTGTGTGCTTTCATCCCCATCCATTTTCTTTCCTTTTTAGGTAAGATACTTAAATTAGGTTTAAAACCCACCCTACTCTAGTTCGCCTCACTCACAACAAAAAAAGAAAATACTGTCACTAAAATAGAGTCTTGCTTTTAGGTACAAGGGCTAGCACTGCAACATTACTGTTTTGAGGGGTAGAAGGGGAATATTTGGTCTGTAACACCGGGAAAGTAATTGATTTAAATAATGTGACTGATTACTATATTTTTACATTTTTATTCAGAGTTTTGGAGGCTGGGAAGGCGGATGTTATTTTGCCAAAAAGTTCACCAATTGGAATAACTCATGTGATTGCCAGTAATTCAAGAATCAAGGATGAAAAAGAAAAAGATAAATTTCAGGCTCCATTTTATCCAATTCAGTATCTAGGAGATTTTCTTTTAGAAGTAAGTAAAATAAACACTTAAGTGATTATAGACTTTTATTTTATAAAATATAATGAAATATGTGTTTTAAACTGTTACGTTTTAAATGTCTACAATACACATAGTCCCTGGGTTCTCTTCCAACTACTGTGTCGTATGTCATTTTTTATTTATGTGAAATTGCCCTCACTTACTTTCACTTTTTCATATAAGTTTCCATAGCCTGGTGGTGCTGGCTGATTTAAGCATTGGACAGCTAACTTAAGGGTTTGGGATTCAAACCAATCAGGCAGCTCCACAGGAGAGAAATGCAACTGTGTGCTTTTACAGCCCCAGAAGTCATATATAGGGTCAATATGAGTTGAAATTGATTCGATTCTGGTAGGTTTCAGGGGATTTTATTGCTATAGTCCTCTATCGCGTCGCTTTGAGTCCACATCAACTGGATGGCATTAGGTTTGGGGTTTTTTTGCTTGGTACCACCTGCTAAACAGTACTATTTGAACAGTAAATTATAGTATTGAACATCTGTGAGTGGACGTATAAGACAGAGGACAGCAAATTAGGCACTGCAACACTTTGACTTGCATATTACTAATAAGTTGTACTAGAAAAATACCACAAATCCTAGATGGTTGCGTGTACAGCACATTATAATTTAAATGTGTCAGAAGTTCAGAACTATACAGTTGGTTGGAAATAATTTAAATCCCACATTGTTTAAGGTAACTGTTCTCAATTATTTGAATATTTGAAAATGATCCTTATAGATTTAAAGTGCTTTAGTAGTATATATTATATACTGTTAAATAATTTTCAATATTTTAGTGTCAGAGCAGAAGTAAAATAGTAAACTCAAAAGCTCAACTGCCATCGAATCGGAACCAACTTATAGCAACCCTATAGGACAGGGTAGAACTGTCCCTGTGAATTTTCTGGGGAAGCTGTAACTCTTGGCAGGTAGAGAAAGCCCTATCTCTCTCCTGCATAGCAGCTCCGAAGTGCTGACCTTGCAGTTAGCAGCCCAACATATGACCCTGTATACCACCAGGGTTCCTTTACCTAAAATGGTAGTAGACTATAATATTTAGGGATTATTTATGTGTCATAAGTTGAGAATTTTGGGGGTATTTTTCCTTTGAAGCAGATGGAACTCTGTCTAGGGTCTGACATTTTTTCCCCGCCTATTCTCCTTCCTTCCCCTCCATACTTGCTACAAATACCACTCCCCAAGATGTTAGAATGGAATCAATCCTCAAACGAAGCCTCCAGGGATGATAAGCAAAGAAGGATTTATGAAGAAGACTCACGATATAGAGAAACCAACCTCAGTAGGCCTAAAAACTGAACCTTGAACTTCTTTCATTCAGCCGTGTTTCTCATCTTTTTAAAATCTAATTTTTTAAGGCAGAGGCAGAGGAATCACCCTTGAAACCTTCTCCTTTGTTCTCTGTATCTATTCTACTACCAAGTCCTTTTGACTTTACTTCCCCAATTGTTTTTAAAAATCATTTTATTGGGGACTTGTACAACTCTTATCACAATCCTTCCATACGTCCATTGTGTCAAGCACAAGTGTACATTTGTTGCCATC